CCAGTTACATATTGTCTTCCCTATCTCTTGCACTGACTGCCTTTATTCTAGATTTTGATACCACCTCATTATAGCTCTCCTTTCAGAATTGTTATGGTACATAAAAATTTCTGATACTTTTGTTTGAATAGTCTCCCATTTACCTGAGTTTCAGAGGAATATTTCATAAGCACTTGTCTCCGCGACTGTACCATCTATATTGCTCTGGAGCGACGTGGTGTCGTCGTTATATGTACCATTTGAATATTATCTAACTCCCTCCAGTTTAGACGGAGGCCTCGGCTTAATTAATGCAAATTTGAGTGCTAACAAGATTATGAATCCAACCGCTTTTTGAGAGCACACTTAAGTAGCGTATAACTTGAGTGGCTGTATGCATACTAAGAGAGAAAACTTGAATAATTTGCAAAGTTCAAGTTTAAATTTACATGTTGTGTAATATTATCGCTAGGTTCTGAAGACGTGAATTTGTTTTTCAACTACTTACCTACAATTATAAGTATCGTAATACAGCGAGGAAATGCTGCCGGCATTAAAGGTACCTGCCACAGGGAACAAGCTTTATAAATCGCTTTATTTTCTGTTTATCAATGTTTCATTATTTATTGCTATTTAGGCAGAGGGCGTTCACTGAGTTCACCTCGCTCCAAGTCTTTCCGACTCTCTTTGCCTCATCTGCAACTGTACGACGCCAGGTTTCCTTGGGAAACCCACCAATTCCTTGCGTGCCCCCCCCCCCCCCTGGGGGTTTTTTTTGGTTTCCCCCCCCGTTTGTCATTTCCACTGACGCGAGATGCTTCGGGGATCTTGGGAAGACCCAAAGTGCCGTTAGAGAGGTTTTCGGCCATAGATGCGTAGTACCAACAGCTTCAAAGACTGAGTCGGCAACTGCTTGGGGCCTTCCACGTATACTTTAGATACAGATTGACGGAAAAGACAAGGTAGGTACATATTTCTCTTTTCTTATTATACTTAGATTAGTTTTAACTTTTACTATTTTCGATTTTTTCTCTGGAACTACAGTCACAGCTTTAATTTCGGCCATTTTAGTACACATATAAAAAACATTATAGCCAATTTCCATTTAATTCAGTTGCATTTATTTCAAGTTTCCTAACAAAAGCGAACTAAAAATAAGATCTAGAAATTTCCACTCGAAGTTTTGCAAAATATGAAACAAACCAGTAGCGCTAAAACCTTTTTAGGTCTAGGACTTAGAGTTCTATATCTGTTTTATGATCACTTGTTAATCTAATAGGCAAGTAGGTGATGAACCGCCTGTGCTTGACACACGCCGTAGACTTTTTTGGTCTAAGAACGATGTTTTGATGTTTTCCTTCACCGATCGAGCGAATGTTAAATGCGCACATATACAGAAATTCCATTGGTGCACAGCCGGGGATCGAACCTACGACCTCAGGGACGAGAGTCGCACGCTGAATCCACTAGACCAACACAGCTCTTTTCAAATCTAAACGCGCATTAAAAACCCATTTCTCGCGAATTATCGATTTAACAAAGTCATTTAGTGAATTAACCCTTCGCTCCCAGGAAGTTTGGGCGTGACGTCACACCGGGTCATCCATCATAGAGTTGCCAGTTATTTTAAATCAATTGTTTTCGCGCGTGTCCACCATCCATCTTGCCATATCAATAAAAAATAAACATTTGATACGCTCCGATTGGTTTGATTAAAGGATTTAAGATTTCTGTTATCTCGATTGTGTTTAGTTATAGACTGTCATACTCGCGAGTGCGTTGGCGGCCTGTCATTAATTACCACGTTTTTGAATAGGTAAATATTATCTACATATACAATAAGGTACCTAACATAAATTACACACAATACAAGAATATTTGAAATGTTTTATAGTTTTAGTTTTTTCTATATTACGGTATCTTTTTTTTATGTAATACGTGGCAAAAATGCAGGAGGCTCACCTGATGTTAAGTGATACCTAGACACTCACATTGCCAAGTGCAAGTGCGTTGCCGGCCTTTTAATGTTATGATATTAGAACTACTATTTTGAACGCTGATATGTTAACTAGATACTATATTATATTTCAACGAGTGTCTATATAATTCGCTGTATTATTTAAAGTATAAGTGACCTTTTTTTATTGTTCGTTGACTAAACTGACAAAAGTTCTATTATTTGTTAGTGGCTATAGTAGTTAGTTAATTTCTTTTTATTTTGTAATTGAATTTTTTTCATTCGTAAATTTTATTCATTTCATGTGCATTATTGTCCATTAAGGGTATTAAGGGTAACCTGTTAGGACAGGATTGTTTTTTATAATCAAATAAATAATTTATAAACAAGCGGACCCGTTTTCCTGTAAACACAAAAAATATCATAAAAATTGGTCCATTTATAAAAAGATAGCTTTCGCGATTATACTCGTATATAGGTATATGTTTGGATTTATATTTGTTATTCACCTGTGTTCATTCTCCGCTTATTTGGCTTTATTCAGCTAAATTTATTACATTATTAACGTCATTAAGTTAATAATAATAAATTCGCGATTATATCTTGAAGTTTTTTCATTTCATTTGAATAAAACAATAAACGGAAAAAATATAAGAGTCTATCCACCAACTTTGATTTCGTAACCTTTGGAGTAGAGATTCTTGTGCCGTGGGGTTCAAATGTACAGGCAGTAATCAAAGATTTATGTTAGTGCCTGGTAGATAGTACTGGTAACCCCAGACCTGGTACTTTCCTCGCTCAACGAATAAGACCATACATTTTAAATGTATTTTTAATAGTTAATATTATTTTATATAACACAATGTTTTAGCTACTCACAGAAATACTTTCAAACATTACAGCGTACACAACATCAATAATAACGTAAGCGTTTGAACGAACGCTTCTCGCCCTCAAAAGCCTCCATAATGAGGACAAACGGCGCGTTCGTGAGCGGCCAGCCTAATATGCTAGACAGGGACGAATATGTACATCTCATCGCGATAGATAGAGACAGAGAGAGGTATCTAAACTGAATTGAAGATAGATGTTCTGAGGCGCATGTGCTTCGGATCGTTTCAGTTTATTACGAAAGTTATGTTCAACGTATTTTCTATTGGATTTTATTGAACTAGGTTTTATGCTGATATTGAAAAATTATTTTTTTATGGCTTAGTAGTTAAGTGCTTGGTGTTCGAGTCGAATGCATTGCGTTAAACAGCAACCGTGTTGATTTTATTGAACAGTTGACAGGATGAAGTTGTTCGTAAGTTGGGCAAACAACAATGTAAAGAGCATTGGAGTGGTGGTCTCAACGTGTGACTCTCATCCCTGAAGTCGTAGGTTCGATCCCCGGCTGTGCACCAATAGACTTTCTATGATATTTAACACTACGGTACGGTGAAGGAAAACATCATGACGAAACTGGCATGCCTTAGATCCAATAACGGTCGACGGTGTGTGTCAGGCATAGGAGTTTGATCACCTACTTGCCGATTAGAAAAGATCATGAGACATACAGAAATCTGAGGCTCAGAACTAAAAAGTTTTAGCGCCATATAGTGAGCGTAAAAATTGTTTTTGGCACTTAATTCTAAAAGCGAACAATAGTCAATTAAACAAAATTGTTTATTTATAATATAAACAATCAAAACAAAACCCTTTATTACCCGGACAAAGTTAAAACCTATCCTGAAAGACTCATTAAGCCGTCCCTAATTAAAAACTAATTAAATTTGCCAGAGAAAAAGAGCGCGCGACATTTAGCTGATACTAATAAGGTCATCAAACAATTACGGCTCATCCGTGCCAGAGTGAGAGGGAGCACCCTCCCTCCTCCCTCTCCCTCCAACTCACCACATCCTCTATTTAACTTTTAATTTATACTCATTCCTTTATATCTTTTATTGCTTCGCCCATCGCAACTCCTAATGCGCTCGAGGTGCTCCTCACTCTAATTAAATTCATGCAACACTAAGCTTTCCGGACACCTCGGCAGGCCACGCCCGAGTCACCCCACTGCGCGATTTCCACCAATCGCGGGCCGAAGCGGCTTCAGCACAAAAGCCGGTTGAAGAGGGCGGCGCAGTGGGTACGAGATCTGATATAGCCGTCACGTCGGTTACGGAGAGTGTCTTGACGTATTTTATTATTATTTATGTCAATTAGGTTATTGCTTTTTTGTTTAATGGAATAAGGAATTGTGAAATTGATTGCCTTTCGTTTATGATTCATCAATGTCAGAACACAATCTGTAACGTGTTAATTTTATATGATTGATTGTTACTCGGGTCATTAGAATGCGGCTGTAATCTAGTTGCACACCTATTGTACATGTTAATAACATAGCCTTTACTGTGTAATTAGTTTCAAATTATCATCTTCACATCTAAAAGAGACAATACACAAATAGAAGAATGAAACAGCTATTTAAAATGTCTATTAAAAAAGCTTTATTAGTAGTACAATTCTTTAATACCAAACACAACTCTGACAGGAAGTAAAACGCTATTCCCAAAGTAATTTAAAGAATTCAGCATTGTCATTTGTAACAAACTTCATAAAATGAAAATATTAGAAACAATCTATAACAAACATCTTTCTGATTATGCCTCTACGAGTTTTTGTATGCGGCTAAAAGATTACGACTGTACCCCATACAAATACACACTTTATTCATCAAACAAAATCCAACTCTATTTTTATGCTATTACAGTAGATTTTGTAATACAAGTGAAGGCGTCTACAATGTCGTTATTCTCACGTATGGCGAGGTTAATTTATGAACCGTCATTTAATATCCATCTGTAGAGCAAAGAAATAGGGTGTATTGTTGTTTAGCATGATATAGGGGAATAAATCTATAATATGAAGAGGGCGGGGTATTAATTTGTGTAGAGGGGTATGCCCCGCCCTGCCGGAGCGCGCCATGCCAGTGACGGCTGTCGCCTCGCACGGGGACATAGTGTCTTGTGGTGTGTGGTGTGGTGCGACAATGCGAGTTTGTGGGTGTTAAACTGTCGGTATGGTGTTGGAAGGTGGTCTGCCGGCGCCGCTTCAATTGTACGCGGCAGCGGCTGCCGGATTAGCCCCAAGGCCGGCTTGGCCCCCGTTTTTACCGTTTTTTGGAGTTCCACCACCGTTTTTGACTAGGCCTCGACTACCGCATCCCTTACCGAATCGGGCACCTCATGGACCTCCTAGTGAAGACTCTAATGAAGATGGAGGAAGTAGTAAGGGTAGGTCTCTCTTTCTATTAGAATTATTTAGTTTAAGGAGAAGCAAAGATTACTATCAAAAGTTAACTCATAGGTTCTAATAGTAAATAACGGTGAAAAATATGTTTTTACGTTTTGAAATAAATTACCATATTGTCAATGTGCGAATAGCAACTCTTATAAGATTAAAATATCTATATCAGTAGGTACATAGTCTGTGCATGTAAGTCATTTTTAATTTCAGAACTTTTATTTTTGGCGGCAAAACAAAAGCCCCTTTAAATTTACTATAACACAAAAATCTTCATACTAAACTAAGTGTAAAACTTATTAATTAAAAGGCATTTTATTTACACTTGTATTGGGACAATAGAGAATATTGGCATCGCCTCTAATCTGGTATAAACATAAAGAATAGAAGATAAGCATAAAATGTTTTAAAAAAGGTATTATAGCTGATTTTTTTTTTAAATACCTATTATGGCAATCGTTTTTACTTTATACCAGTTTCAAGTAAAAATAGCTGATAATTTGTTGTTATACAATGGTATATGTGGATAATTTATTTAATGTTTTTATTTGGTCGATAAACCGAATAAAAACAAGGAAATCCGTATTTCACTGGGCTATAAATAAATAATTTTAATTTAAAATTATGCGCCTACGTTTCGCATTTAAAGTTTTCGATATAAACTTAAATAATTAAACAAAATCAGATAAGGTTATTTAGAATTAAACAATTGAAGATTACCTACGTGTTCAAGAAATTTTGATATTTAACCTAAAATATTAGTGTCAATTTTTTTGTAATTTATTCCGTTATTATATACCAATATAAAGATTACAAATTATGAATCTTTATCTATAAATACCTAATAAATAATACCTTTAGAAGTAGGGTTATTTTATAAGTTCTCCTTTAAGGTCTAACGAGAAATAACGCGTCCGTCCGTCGGATGGTTCAAACGTCACTTAGGGATTGTTAAAATTCTAATTGTATTTCTTTTTAATGTTAATGAAAAAATTCGACCTTTCTTAAATAAATAAATAATATTAGAACAATCACAATATAATCTTATTTAAATCTTACATCTAACTTTATATGTTTCTATTTGACGTAAACACGCGCCATTTTAACGTCTTAGGGTAGATCTATATCCACTTGACTTTCTCAACTTACCTTACAAAAACTTTCTTATTACACTAAGGTTAAACTATGATTTCGTATTTATAGACATTTTAACGGTGAGATTAAGCTAACCCAACTAAACAGAAAATGTCAAAATACAAATTGATGTTTCATTTCATGCAATACTTTGTTTATTATCCTTTAAAAAAGTTAACAATAACAAATATTTAAAAATCTAAAACGGTACACATATATCTTCAATTTATTGTTATTTATGTATTCATTTATTTTATTATTGCAATAACTAGAAATTCACGAGTAACCTTTAGAAAATGTATTAATTATTTAAAGATGACAATAATTTTTATTACGTAGAACGGATCGCAATGTTTTGGTTAGGTTATAGTTTGAATTTCGTTGTCACTATAATATGCCAATTGCCAGGGCTGCCAGTACATACAAAATCACACCAGTTATTTTTAAGATTTCTCAAAATGGGGTTGAACAATTACATAAATAATATAAATAAACAACAATAAATACCATAATAATGTGTAATTATTTTATTTCATGCATTTCATAGGTATTTATCAAGATCATTTATAATTTCTTTGAATTCAAATTCTATTTTTCCCAAAGCTTAACTCCATCAAATGGCAACACCTTCATTAAAAACCGACAAAAATAAAAAGTCCAGTAAAAGATATGATGGTAAAGCAATTTTGGGCATTATTTTTGTTAGGCTTATAGTCAAAGTTTTTGGTAAGTCGTGATTTCGTGGACTTGAGATTAAGCTAAGCCAACACTAGGGAGAGATTCGTAGTTTGCTCTATAAATACCGACTGTCTAGCTCATAGTTAAGTCAAGCAAAGTCTAAGTGCGCACTATAGATCTCACCCTTACACAAAAAAAGTAAAAGCGGCCAGAGGATAGGTATGGGCGAAAATAATAATGCCAAAAATCATTAACGACTTCTTATAACAATAATAAATTATATTTTTAACTCAATTACCGCAAACATACATTACATAGGTACATAATTAATTATACAGTAAGATTTAATAATTAATGGAAAATTTTGCCTTTAAATTTATTTTATCAAATATTTTATGAAGTACACTTTTTGCTTCATTAACCTTGTAAATGATATTAATAATCCGAAATATTACATATGTAATAAACATTTTTCTAATTCAAGGATTGTGTATGGTCGCCGGGTCATGGTTACACGAAGTCCTGAGTTCGATTTTTAGTGAAACTATCGTACTCTTTAATCTCCATTAGTTCGTAAGCTGTTCGTAATTGTTGCTTTCTTTGCGAAGAATTTAACCATAGATTATCACAATTTTTTTAAAGTTATAACGAGTAGGTAAATAAAAAAGCTGAATTTAACTAGAAATTAATTTTGTAATTGTGCATACGTGCTTTCTTAAAAAAAATAGTTTTTAGTTCTACAATATTTGAAAATACTATTAAAGTCTTCTAGCCCTTGACTAGAAATATTTACCTCAAAATTTCAACTGCTTGCTTCATCATATAGGCTCTATTCGTTCTTGGGACTTATCATTCTTCCAATTAACTTAAATTACTTAAAATTACTTATGCAGGCTTAATATTTTTTTATAATATTAAGCACATACAGCTTCCTGTACTCCGTCATTAATATTGTTTATGTACAGAGAACATAGAATTGTCTAGTGATTTTAAGTCTAGACTTTAGCGCGTAAAAAGTTGGTTCTATTTTGTACTGTAATCGGTGTCGTAAACTCTACAATTTATTCTATACAGATGACAAATACAAAAATGTAAAATGACGCGCCAATCTTAATTAAACCGCGCGCATGCAGTGCTACGTCTTATTTCCGTTACCTTTATATAATTAATATATTACGTAGAATCTAGAGAACTAGACTTATTTTAATTATTATAATAATTCTGAAGCTTGTTTGTTTGGTTGGTTGAACGCGTTAATTGCGGGGCCTTCTGTCTTGACAAGATTCTTTTTGTATAATGTAGGTAATTTTTTTTAAATATGTATTCTCTTTGAGAGCTTCCATGCGTTGCTTTTAAACAGCTTTTTTGAAATTTGCTTCTAGACAAAATATTCCTTCACCAAATTATTTTAATTAATATCTTTGAGGATATAGTCTATAGACAAACTTGACAATTTTGTGGCGGACTTCGCGCCCATTTTAACTACAGTAAAAAAGACAGTACTACAACCTTGATTTTTAATAGGCAAGTGGGTGATCATCTTTCTCTATTTGACACACGCTATTCCCTTTTGGGTCTAATACCTTTTTCCTCGCAATGTTTTCTTTCACAGACTATGCCCACAAATTTGCAGATTGCAGATTTGATCTGTAATTACTGCATTTAGACCACAGCGGAAAGCTTTGCATTTAGCACATAAATATAGTCGACTGTTTTTTCATTCACAGCTCATTCAGCCACACGAATGACATGTCTTTGACATAACTTATGAATTGTCTATGGCGAGAGATATGGAATTAGAATTAACAGCGGTCAGATGAAACATAATGGCTGTCCTTCTCACTAAGTATTCCCGAATCGTTTGAATAAATTTTCTATTAATAAAAGCAAGGTGCTAAGAACCTAACGAGCGTAATCCGAAATATTAGTTTCGTAGTTCGGTCGCCTGCTGCGCGCGCGTCGGTCGTAACAACTTTGTCGATGCCTACGCCGTTATTCTCAATACGAGATCGTAACTCAATCGTCGTTATACAGTTACTTGGATTAATACGTATTTTATAGTATTAAAAAAAATATTAATATTGCGATATATTAATGGAAAACTGAGTATAAACATGATATTATTACTACTGTAATTTGCGATTGTTTTTTATTCAGTACTACTTTTACTTAGCCTACCTTTTGATTAGCTACTTACCAACACATGGAACATTGCTATGCTACTCTATAGAGACTGTTCGCTTTTCCGGGATAAAAACCTAAGTACTAAATAAAACAAAATTATTATTTTTTTTACTTTACAAAATTATCTTCATAAAAAAGGTTTTCATGAAGATAATTTTCAAGAGTTCAGAGTTTTCAGTCCTCAGAGTTTAAGGAATTAATAAAAAATGACTCGCATAAGTCCAGCCGTCTTAGAGGTTTGCGCTTAGCAAAATATTTTGCGATGATTTTTTATTTATATTCCTAGATAGTGGTCATCTCAAAGTATTGTTTCGCCTTCAGACATAGCAATATCTTCGTTGTAACAACTACTAGGGAATTAAGATACTTTTTACAACAAACAATTTTATTATTAAAAGTTTAAAAACGATTAGGAAAGTGTGACTGACGGGTGGGGTAATCGCCCAAGTCTTACGTGAATAGGTCTCCAGATATAATCGGGCTTTGTCGGCGATTGTGCTGAGGTGTTACTCTTGAAATTAGTTTGTTAAATGTTTTGTGGATGACGCATGGCCACCCCGCATTGTGAACAACGTTTTTTATCGGCACAACTAGAAGATGATTTATAGGAAAGTGGACTTTTTAATAACGATCCGATAATTTATTAAGATATATATATCTTTTATTTAGACCAAGTCTTAGTTCTGATGAGGTTTTTATAGAATTTTACCCCATTTTACGGGCCGGATGCTCACCTGATGTTAAGTGTTACTGCTGCCCATAGACACTGATACTGCTAGAAGGCTCGCAAATGCGTTGCCGGCCTTTTTAGAAATGGTACTTTTCTCGAATAATAAAATTTTCCGTCCCTAAAATTGTTCATAATTTAATTTAAATAGAAAATCTTAACACTTAGTTTCCATAATTACATAAATAACGACACTAAATTCATATCTCGTATTCAAGTTTCTCATCCACGAGACTTAAAAATCTTTGTTGCAGTTCACATTTACTACGGTCTAACCAATTGCAACCACTTATATAGATTCTACGTTCATTTAGTTTAATAAACAATAAATATATAAATATGTTTAC